ACACGTAAGGCTCCTTCTTTTCTGGTAATTATCGAATAGAATTATGGGTAAATTACCCGAGTATAATCGAACAAATAACGAGCAAAGCGAAGTGAATACAAAAATTCCCGGTTTTTGAAATGGCCGCCATGTTGTGACGTCACATGGTTATCAAATCTGATAACGATCCCGGACTGATATTCTCTCCTGCACTCGGAGTAGAACTAGTGGAAGCAGTCTAGTCTTTCAAACTTTGACGTTAGTTCGGGCAATCTCGCTGCAAGCGGTTGGAAGCCGCGAATAACTGTAGCTCCTTTCAAATACAACTCAGCATTTCGCATTTTTATCCGGAAGCTTCGAGCTCCCTGTTTCGTAATTTCCATCGGAAAGTGCACGTCTTCATGACCCACAATGCCGCCGGATTCCTCTGGACTAGAAACCTTTAGATCCTTATTTAAAAATTAAACTAAAAAGCAAACTTTGAAGGCGTCGATCTTCTCTCGAAAGTCACTCTAAACTGAAAACTTAGCTGAAGTCCAGTTTGTGATTTACAGCTGTCGTCTCGTTAACCAATCAAATTATTTGAGCAATTCTAACAAGGATTGTGATTGGCTTATTTTAGCTTACTTTATCAGAGAACAGATGCACACTGACGCTACTTTTACTCGTTTGGAAAATAAAGTTTGGTTTGAAAATTCAGCCGAATGCGTGGGGAAATTACGCGCCGCTACCTATGTCGAGCATGAAAAAAGAGTTGCATGGTTTTCTATTTCTATACATGCATGTAGTTCCGCTCCTATAGTTATGGTACTTCGCTTGGCGGTCTTTGTAGCTATTCTAAAAACTGAATTTGTCTGTGTATTTATTTTTTCCTATCACTTGGAGAGTTGACAGAGTTAGTAAGCATTACAAGCTTCTGATATAGAAATATCTATTTTTTTAATTTCTCTGTCAGGTTTCGTTTATGGCTATTTACGGGCGAAAAAATTAAAGAAATCGATGTTTTTGAGTTAGTTTTTGCCAAAAAAAAAAAACTTCTTAGTCAACGGATCTTGGCTTTGTAATGAACGGGTGAGCGAGAGAGGTACGTATTTCTAACCAATCAGATTGGGGCTACTATAAACAACCAATTAAATTGCCACTTGTGAAGGTGAATCATCTGTGTGACGATTTCATCCCGATTTTAGAATGGCTATCTTTGTTTTTCTACAAACAGAAACAGGTGTTCTTGTATTGGCCTTATTATGACATTTCCGATGCTGCGTTAACTATGGTTAAGCCCAGGACTTTGTAGATGGGTTTCAAAAGAGTTCAGAATTCGATAATCAGCCGAAGAATCATAGTCTTTGGCATACGCTAACATGTCATCAAAGCTTTGCTTTTCGTATTACATGAAATTTCGAATGAAATGAGCTGCTCGACAACTTGGTGATTTCCAAGACAGAAACGATCATTTTTAGTGTAAAATGCACTATTGGGACGGTGAGGGGCTTTCGTCCGTGATGGTATTCGCCAGTCCAAACCATTTATGTTTGCAGAATTATTTTTTGTGGCACTTAGTGCAAAATACACTATTGGAATAGTGAGGGACTTTCGTCCGTAATGGTATTCGCCAGACCAAACCATTTATGTTTGCGCAAATTTTTGTAGTTTGTAAATGCAAGACATGTAAGTCTCAATTGAGTAGCGCTGCCCACAGAGTAATAATGTCTTCTCGTTGAAACGTTTCTTGGAATCAATACTAAGATACTCATTTCAAGTGGTTTTCTCTGTCAAAAACAAATAAATTACGAACGGCTAGTTATGAATGAGAACACTGCTGAGTTTTGAAATTTGTTTTTGTTGCAGGTAAATGTAACAAGTTATTTTTTCTTTCGTTTTGAAACAGATTCCTTGCGCGTTCCTTACGTCTCTCATAAAGCGACAATTTTTTTCTGTAACTGACTTTTTGTCTCCAAAAAGGCTCTCAGGCATTGGGAAGGGTAATGTGACAAGAAAACTTCCCAAACTCTGCAGATTTCATGGCATCTTATATAGCATTCTTTCAAGTCTCAAGTTAGGTAACGCTGTTTACCTTCAATGATGTCGTCTCGTTCACATGGGTTTTGAAATCGATAATACTTTGAAGTGGTTTCGTGGAATATCAAAACTGAATAAACCTACGATCATTGCTGGCAACAGAATAAGACCATGCTATGTAATGAGATTTTATAATTAAATTGGTTCTTGCTATAAAGTGAGTCAGAAAAATATTCCAGAATCAAAACCTATCTGCCGTTTACCGTTAGCTACTGTAAGAGACTGTATGATGTTTAGCTGTCTTACTGGGAACAGTTCCAAGTAGTTCTAAACCAAACAAAGCCACTGATCGATTGTTAAAATCAAACCTTGATAAAAGTAGGCTTGATATCACATTTCCTATGGTGAAACAAATTCTAAATTTTTTTCATAACTGTTTATCATAGCTATTAAGAGTCCACTGAGTGCTGCTACCTCCAGGGGCTTTTAATTCACAAAAAATAACTCTTGCACGCCTTGCGTGCCTGTCTGCTACGAAGTTCTGATTCCTTTCGGTTTTGACTATATCTGCTTCTAGCCCTAAGAAGTGGATGGAGGAAGACGACATCGCCCGCGCTCATTTCAAACTTATTTCACTTAAACAATTACGGCCAAATTTACTGACTTTTGCAAAAATTTACTCCGAAATGTTTTATTGTGTCGTTTTGTGGTTACTCGTGTGATTTGACTTTTCCACACTCTGTCTATTTTGATTGTTTTTTTCTCTCAAATCTGGGTAAGACTAAAACTACCTCTGTCAGTGGTTAGTTTATATTCTTTTAGTTTCGACTTTTTACGTACAATTTTTTGTTGCGATATGACTTTGGGTTGCTCTTCATATACCACACAAAGTCCCGATTGGTGAAACTCCACTTCCTATATCCACTAACTTTAACCCTATACTGGGGTTTTAACACGTTATCCCGGCATTATTTTGAGCATAGTAGTGAGGCAAGAGAATTGAGCATTATGCCGGAATAATAGTGACAAATTATTATATGGCTAGCTCCGTGAGCGGGCAAGATGAAGCAAATCCTGCGCTGTGATTGGCTACCCGAGCGGGCAAGATGGAGCTATCTTGCCCGCTCGGGACTACCCGCCGTGTCCCGNGATGGTTGGGGACCTTAAGCAGGCTGAGAGAAATATGGGCAGCAGTCACTCACCCAGCACATGCCAACAGATTTTGCCAATAGACCTTTTTCGACTGGGCGGTTTGTTGCCCCATTTCAGACCATGTGATGATACTCTTGGGAATTCTTCCTTTCAAATTTTCAAATAGTCGTGTGTGTATGAATAAGTAATTTTCAGATGGATAAAAGAAAAATTTTGCAAAGAATGTATTAGCTCATTATCGCTTTTGCCACCCTGAAATTCTGAGGTTTTTGAAAACTAATTTCTCGTCGAATAGTACACCCAAAGAGCTAAACATGTCGCTAATTACTAATATTCATGAGCTCGTAAATGCTTGTAGTCAATTCGTGTCCAGCGTGATGCCTTCTCTGCGCAGTCGTATGTTAATGAGGAAAAACTATACACGCCCTCGATCATATCGAACACAAGTGACGCAAGGGTGGGAAGGGGGGGAATGCCAGGTGAAAAATCAAAAAAACATAAAAACACTGCAAGAGAGAGCTGATTGTTACAGGACCTCCGTTAAAAAAATCCAAATGGCCACATTACTTTTTTGTCCATTGCCAACCAGGTGGATACTCTCACGGCTCTGAAAGATCAAAATTTAAAGCAGTTTAAATGTAGACAGTGGAGGACCTTCAAGAGGATATGAATGTTGATCAGTAAGTGTATTACTTACCAAAGATCCTGGAAGGCCACGTGGTCCTATTGAAAAATGAGAGATTCAGCGAATTACTTGCCTGTATTGTTCACGCTTCATAAATTTTATGTTGCCATAAAATTAATAATCAGAAATAAAGTGGATAACTTGGGGACAGGGCATCAACTGTTTGTTCGCGTGTGGCTACGAGCTGGACTCAAATGAGCCCATAGAGACCCTCTACTATACCTAGATCAAAACGTTAGCTAAATCCTCTTCACATAGGAACGACGAAAACGCAAAGAAGTAGCCGTCTTTTTGCTAAGAGCCCGGGCACGCTGCTAAGCTACTCACTATCCACAACAGAATAAACAGTGAGTAACGCAGCCAATAACAAAAAGACAATCGTAACAGAACGTTAGTAGATTTATACCAAAAATAGATATACATTGCATATAATCCATCATATAGTTTCACTCGCGCGATTGGTCTTAACGTGTCACGTGACTGAATACGCTCTCGGAAAACTCTTCGCTTCTTGGAACAGATAATGTTCACGGACAAATATCCGAACAGATTTTCGCACCAAATGAAGGCTATTGCTTATAAATTTCACCTGGCGGTCCCATCACTCCCGGCGGACCACTGTCGCCGCGGCGTCCCATGATCCCCTCCGGTCCAGGAGGTCCCATAGGTCCAATAGGTCCTAAATCACATTGATTAAATATTTTGAAAATCAAACCAAAAGTCATTGATGAAAGGTTTTGTAACCTGATATTATAAGTTGTAGACCTGGAATTTGGATTTAAGTCGGCCGGGAAATCGGGAATTAATTATGAAGTAAGTTTAAGAACTGAACTAAACCCCTGAACGTCCAAGTAATGCAAACGTAGCGTCCATCGTTTCTAATCATTTTTTTCTGAAATGTCATGGGTTTTTTCACATGATGTGACTTCTAGCGCTAACTGTCACATCAGTTTCTCTTTCTCCTACTTAAGTTGAATAAATATAATAGATGATTGATATAATATATAAACAACCTCGCCAAGAATTAGGTTTGTGTGGTTTTCATTCGCGCGTTATTTGTGTTTTACCCAAATATACAGAGCTTTGTATGGAGACGCCATGTTGGTGAACATGGCGTCTGTAAAGTAACGTACCGAAACATATGTCGTTCAGTTTTGCTATTGAAACGAAAAGTTGTTGCTCTACAGTTACGGGCACATTGAAATTAATACTTCTTCTAGTACAAGAACTGTTGTTGTTGTTGAACTTCTAGTTAGCAAAAACGTAAGTGATTACTCATCTCTTGACCTGCGCGACAGCCTTCTCTGGCCACCATCTAATGTCACGGGAAGCCAAAGCTTAGAAATTCAAACGTGCTGTATTACAAAACGAAGGACCCCGTCGAGCTAAAACGTTGTAAAACGTCAAGTTCTTAGAGGGTCTTCTACCTGATAGGACTAGAACCTCAGAAGGATAGGTAATTTTGTATTTTGAAAATTGACTACTTAACATAAAAACCATCAATAGCTGAGACTTTACGATACTTACGGGCCATTTGCATGATGACTTTATTTAACTACAACTACCAGAATCCTTCACTTTTCTATGTTAATTAAGGTACTTGTTACTCTGATTGCTTTTTAAACCCCACTGGGGCTTCAAAATGTAAATATTAAAAAGTAAAAACGAAAGGAATTCTGGTTGTTGTAGTCAAGTGACGCCTGCTATTTTCTAGTATTCTGTCCACTTCATGTCTTTAGCTTTCATTTACCTGGATTGCCAGATGGGCCAACATGACCGGGTTTTCCAGGCTTCCCCTTCTGACCTGGTCTCCCTGGGGCTCCTTGAAGTCAAAGATGAGGAAAACGGAAACAAAATTACTAAATGACTCTGGTCACGGTGGGAGAAGTCACGCAATCTCATCACCATTAAGCGCCTGCGTGGGAAGCTACAGTAGATTTTTGTTGACAATTGTTATGAGAAGCCCGGCATAGTCAATCGAACCCAATCGAACCCAATCGAACCCAATCGAACTGTATTTCAATCGAACTCAACCGAACTCAATCGAACTAAATCGAGCTCAATCTAATATATTGAGTTTGTTTCGGTTCGATTTGTTCGATTGAGTTTGATTGGTTCGGAAATCGAATTCACACAAAGTTCGGTGTTCGATATAGTTCGATTGCCGAACTCAATCGAACTCAATCGAACTCAATCGAACTCAATCCACGGATTGAGTTCGATTGGGTTCGATTGAGTTCGAGGAAGCAAGGTGGTTAAAGCATATTCAGAGCGACGAGAAAGTCCATTCTTATTTATCTGACGAAGGAATCGCCTGGAGTTACAGTTTGAGTCGAGCACCATGGTGGGGTGGCCAGTTCGAGGGGCCGAGTGGTCTTTTCAAGCGAGCGTTCAATAAGACCATTGGAGGCGGTCTGCTCTCCCGGACCGAGCTCTCTGAAGTTTTTCACGAAGTCGAAACTCAGCTGACCCGTCGCCCGCTGTCTTACGTTGAAGATGATGTCCAGCTACTGCTCCTCACTCCGGCCTCCTTCTTGTTTCAGAGATCCATTCGCCTCCCCGAACAAGAGCCATGGAGAGAGGAGAACGTAGATCTTCGCAGACGAGCAAAATACCTGAAGTCCTGTAAAGATGCATTCTGGAAACGCTGGTCTAGAGAGTATTTATCCGCACTCAGAGAATGCCATAACTGTAAAGAACACGGCAAGCCGAGTACTCTGAAAGTAGGTGATGTGGTCATTGTGCGTGGAGATGAAAGAAATCGTGGGAATTGGTCGCTATGCGTGTTAGTAGATCTGTTCGAGGGTCATGACGGAATCGTGCGAGCAGCGAGACTTCGCGCAGGGAAGTCTTTCCTTGAAAGGCCTGTGCAACACCTTTTCCCATTAGAGCTAGCGTGCCACAACGCGTTACAGTTACAGGATACCTCAGGTCTAAACCCTGAGCCACGACCCTCCCGTTCAAGACGAGTCGCCGCAGTTGCTGTAGGTTTGAAGATTCAAGACGCTTTCCAGGAGAAGGAGATGTAGAACCTGAACTGTTGAACTCAGTAGTCATTCGATCGTTTGATGAGCATGAACTTAAGTAGAAATTTCAAAGCACCTAGTACGGTTGTGCAGAACTATTAATAATCAATTAAGCCTCTCGATTACCGCTGCTTTGTGAATTTGTGATTCAAGCGACATGAGTTTCCGTTTACATAGTCTATGCTTTCTTATAGAAACTATATGGGGGAGTGTGTCGGAAACTGCACAAGCATTCGTCGTTTTGGTTAGGGTGATCGGGTGATCGTTGATTGATTATTATAATGAGGATTGTTATCTC